TTTTTCTCTCGCTACTTTATCGCTCAAGGATGCACTTGCTGGCCAGCGCAGCATATTCGGAATTGAGTTGAGTGAACTCTTTTCGGAGATTGTGCTTTAATAGAGCGGCAAAGCCCTTTGTCCGTGTCAAAGCTTTTGTTGTGGCGCCCTGCAAATAATGTATTGAGCTTGGCGAACCCTCTGCGGAGATCCTGCATATCAAAGAACTCTGCGGCTGGAATTTGCAATTTCTAGGTGCTCCGGAGGTCCGGCAGCTTGCAAGTGCACAAGAAGCTCACTAAATTGTTTTTGTTGTTTTACAAAAATGTTGAATATGACGGAGGTTGCTTTGGAAGATATTTATACAACAATTTGCACGCAATTGAATTGCGGAAAAAGCGTCATTCTTATTTCTGCAACTGTGGGACCAAAAGAACAACCCGATGGATTTCAAGCATTTGTATTGAGGCGTCAAGAACACAAGGAGTCTTGATGCACTGAGCATGGTGCCTGATATGTGTTATCAAAAAATTTTGGAAACAATTTCACCCTATAGAAAACAAGACTTTGCACCTGTGTTGATTTTTGCACCTTGAATTTGCAAATTGTATTTGGGCCGCAGATGCGCGCCAGCATATTTGTTGAACAAAATAAGTACAATTTGGATGACGTACTATGAGTAGTCACTGAAGAACGGTTGCAGTTTGTTTTTGTGTAGCCTTTGGACGTCTTCCTGCTCCTGTGTTGTTCCCGTAGTTGTGACTCCTATTGTCTCCTCTGCTGTGGGCCCGTTGTCTGCTCCTGCAGTTGGCTATGCTGATGTTTGCAGCTGACATATCGTAGTAGTTGGGCATGTGGTTGCCTGTGCAGTTGTGATACTTACTGCTATTACCCGATGTTTAGGATCCCAAGAGAAAAAACGAAAAAAAAGAAAGAAAAAAAGAAGAAAGAAAGAAAGAAAGAAAGCAAGACAGAAAGGAAAGAAAAACAAAAAAGAAAGAAAAGAAAGAAAAACAGAAAGAAAAGAAAGAAAGAAACAAATATTTATAGTGTTTAGATGTTGGAAACTTCCGCCCACCGGCTTCGCCGTCTCTCTGTCTCTGTCTTTATCTTTCTGTTTATGTGTGTTTGTTTTTACGGGTCGGTGCACAAAGATAGCATACTTCCGCGTTGCCGCGTACGGCATCTCCTCCTTGCAAGCTCCTTCATGTTCTTTTCGTTCTGCTTTCCTTTTCGTTTCTGATTGTTGTTGCCAGTGTGCTTGTTTACTTGTTTGCTTGTTTGCTTAGTTGCTTCCCTCTCTCTCTGTCCCTCTTTCCTTCTCTTTTCTCTCTCTTTCTTTTTCTCTTTCTCTCTCTCTCTTTTTTTCTTTCGCTCTCTCTCTCTCCCTCCCTTTCTTGTTTTTCTCTTTTTCTCTCTTGTTCTCTCTTTCTCTCTCTCTCTCTCTTTTTCTTTCTTTGTCCTTTCTCTTTTTTCTGTCTTTCTCTCTCTTTCTTTTTCTTTCTCTCTCTCTTTTTTTTCTCTTCTCTTTTTTTTCTCCTCTCTTTCTCTTTCTTTGTCGCCGCTTTATCGCCCACAGGATGAGGGAGAGCTTGCTTAGGTCTTGGGGCATCGACTGGTCTCTCCCGGGGCCGGCGGCACCCTTTTGGAGTCATTGCCTCCGCTTCCGGCATCTTCGCTGGGTCTTTCTCTCCTTTCTGTCTTTTCTTTTTCGTTAAATTTAGTTGATATTTTGCTTACAAGTGCAAGTGTTGTAGTCTTTAAGCCAACAATCAACGGATATAGTCCCAACCTTTTGATTCATGCGAAAAAATAAGCTCAAGGCCTGCGGTATCAAATATATATACAATATAGGTGTAAAATGAAGCATGTAGTTTGATACGGCCCCTCAATTAAAAAGGTCTTTGTAGTACCTCTACAATTGAAGTGCAAAACATGGATTGACAATAGTGATGAAACCATTGTTATTCATCAATGCTATTATAATGGCAAAAATAGTGACCTGCGCTCAGTAGTTCATGCTGTTCAGGTTCCAGCTCGATGGAGGTCGTTAGATGGAAGTAGTGAGGCAGGCACTCGTTGTAATGGAGCATGAGTTCCCCATTTCTGGGCGCGATAGTCTTGGACCATCTGGAGTCTGTTGTCTAAGGTTGCATAATAATGTATGGTGAAAAAGGTTATCATGTAATTTGGGATTCCATAGTCGTACGTTGTTTATCTCGGGGTATGATATGAGTTGGTTATACTCCCTGAGAAAGCGGTGTAGTAGTGATTTGTGATGATGAGTGAGGTTTGTTGTGGTGAGTAATAGGAATCCGCAATGTTGGATATGTTTGCAAAGGATGATAGTAGTAATTATTTTATGCTGAAAGTCGTGTGCGTAGTTGGTATCTATTGTAAAGGTAATGACGTGGTTCAGGTAATAAGAATAAGGATATATATCATTAATCCATTACATCCAAAGATTACGACAAATCTTTGCTGGAAACACTAACTACTAGAAGCTTAATAATAATTACAACATCAGAATACACAAACAACCATGCAAAACTCATCAACAAACAAGGATCTATTTTTTTATTTTTATTTTTAAAAAAACAAACAATTGTGTGGCCTAAACTATACGAAGAGACGAACAATTATACCATAAAAGAAAAAACAAACCTATAATTCGCCCGGAATACCACTATAACAACTTACCAATACAAAAATAACTACGACCTCGAAACCATACCAATTTATAAACACAAAAATTATCTTTCAAATTTATCATAATTCATCATAAAATCGTTATATATATATATTCAAAAAGAATAATAATTCTATACATTATATTACAAGAACTTTTAAAAAAAACCAACAACTCTAAAAAAATCCCGAAATTTCAGCAAAATTTAAGAACCATACAAAGAAAAAAAGAACTTATGCCACAAAAAAAACACCACAACAAATATAACTAACCGTTCGCCACAAACATTAGAATTCGACCAATATATCATAATATCGATTTACAAATACACGAAAAATACACTCTCGAGACCATATTATGTTACAAATAAATATTATAATAATATTTAATATATTTTTTTGAAATATATATATATATATATATATATATCAAACCCTATTTTATTATATAATTATTCAAAATATAATCAATCAATATATCAATATTTATTACCATATCCTATTTATATTCACTATATTTATTTTCTATATTATATTCATTATATCAAAATTATTCTCAATCAATTTTATTATAATACTTACAATAAAATATAATACAAATTTAACTATCCAATACCAATTTTATAAATTTATATTAATCGATTTTATATTAATTCAATTTATTAAATTTCAACCATAACCAAAACCAATTCCAACAAATCACCTTTATACCCATATCATTATAAATACCATTATTTATATTTTATATTTCAAATCCCAAATAGACAATATATATTTTTCACATTATAACCTATACAAATAAACACATATCATATATATATATTTGTTATATTCAATATTCTGTTTCTATTTATATTTTATTATTCTAATATTTCAATATATTAACATAATAACATATCATGTATAATTCATTTTTTTGGATGGTTTGGAGTTTTTTGTGGTGAGAGTATCGAAGATACTGACAACTCCAAATAGTGTTCTAAAATATCATTGATTGTGCAAATCAACATTTCACATTCTGGCATAGAGTTGTGTGGTTCCGCTTTGGGAACAGTCCTTGCAAGCTGTCAGGGGTTGCGAAGGCAATCAGCTTCCACAGCCGCTTTTTTGTCCACCAAGCTTTAAGCTTGTTCATCTTACTGCAGCAGGATGCGCCTGGTCATAGCTCCCAAAAAACCCATGGAATGATGATTGGCCTGTAAATACCAACAAGCAATGGCTTCCTATGGTTTCAAAGTGGTGCAGGATTTCGTGCATCCACAGTAGCTCCGTCTTGTGCCACTTATCTCCGTCAGTGCCAACAGCGGACTGTCAACCGCAGCAAGCGGGGATGCATATTTTCCACCTCTCAAAGAGTATGCGAGTCTCTTTGCCATTCCGGCGTACATAATCTATCCAGCACGGGTCGGATTGGTACCTCCCACCAACTCAACTAAAGTGCACGAAACCTTTGCCCAGAAGGAAAGTCATCTTCCAAAAAAAACGGACTGTGCACGCCCGCGTTTGTTGGTGGGATTGGTAGATGCTGATTGATTCAGCGTTTCCTTAGCTGGTCCGGTGGACATCAGAGCCGTATAGACTAAGATGACCACGGGGTGAATGCTGGTGACTCTTCCAGGCCAGCACTCAAATTAACAATTTCAAATCACTGGCAAACATGAGACGATCAGCACATCAGACACTTACGGGATGAACCAGTGGCTCGGTTGCATGATGTTTCATCTCCAGGTTGTTTTCGTCCAGCGTCCGTCACACTTGCTGCGCAAACATGGGCGGCGCTGCAGAGATCCAAATATTCTTTCAAGCCGCTGGAACCTTAAGAATCAAGGAGCACGCGGCCAGGACACAAAGAGATCCTTTCGACGTGTTCGCAATTCTGACAATGGTCTTGGATTCCTTTGGCTCAAGCAAAACTGGAAGAACTCCACACAGAAGTAGGGAAACTTGAAGCGTGACACCCCGAGAGGGGTCACCTCTTGTATGGTATGGCTTCAGAGTGATGGAGCGCAGTGGTTGTCAGTGCAAGCTTGGCTCGTTGTCGCCAATTTGCTTGCGCAACCCTTTCTTGCGCAGCATGACAAACCATCGAATCCGGAGCAACACTCCTGGCTCATGTGCCGAGCAATTGGCCGCTGCTTGGAGCGTTGCCACACACACACACACACACCCGTCTTCGCACCAAGCAAAAGAGATGCTACCACACGACTAGCCAGCGTGTACTTGCAAATTTCAAGCGTTCAATACCAAACCTGCGCAAGTAAACCACCTCCAGTGTGGCCTGATACAACTCTCTCCAAGCTCAAGCCAAAGCATGGCCGGGTGAAGTCGTGGCGCTATTCTGCTGCCAAGACCACCTGATAGGCCATGATGATGAAGGCCAGGTCGGCCAAGGCCACTGTGACATGGAAGTCTTCTTGCCAGCCATTCAGACTCTGAAAGTGCCATGGCATGTCCGGGTACTTTCCTTGGCTGAACTGGAAAACTAGGACTGGGCTGCCCTCAGATCCCCCGCTAAAAGTTTAACTTTTAGTGCGTTAAATGGAAACACTAAACACTGAAAGGCAAAACCATCTAAGGGGATGGCTGGGAGCCACCAAGAGAACACTGACGCAACTAGGCTCAGCTTGATAAGCACGTCTTGGGGTCTGCAAGGGACACCCCAAAATGGTTCGTATCCTTTTGATTTCCCATGGTCTCCTTTGAAACCAACCAGAATTGGGTTCCTTCCTTTCAAAACGGCACACCAAAACTACCTCAGCTCAATGCCAAGGCTCTTGCGAATGGAGGCGCGAGAAAGAAGCTGATGCCGTAAAGCAGGGCGCCGATCACCCAGAGGTGCTGAAAACCAGCACCGATGCCGGTCAGGCTGAGGCACCACACAAAAAACGCGGAGTTGACGATCGTGCGGAGCATGCGATTCCTGGCAGAGGTGCTGACCACTCCAAATCGGGATCTCTATTTGGCTGTTGGTCAAAAATAGGTACCCAAAATGGAACCCTGGTAAATGGAACCAAACACTAAAACTTGCGGTCCGATTCCTGGTGGCTTAATCTTGACAACCACCCCCATTTTCAAGCTGAACAGATCCATCGCAAGGGGCTCAGGGGCTCTCAGGGGCCAACACCACCAGCCTTTGTGAAGAGTCTTTTGGGGAACCGCCAGCCCACAAAGGGAAATGCCATTGCTGGAGAGTGCTATGAACTCCATCAGGTAACCAAAACAGAAAGTGTTAAAAACATGTTCAATGTTCTTGGCATGTTTTCGTTTGTTTCGTTTTTTGGGCTTCTGTTCATATTTTCAGTGGGCTGCGCAGAACAATGTGTTTGTTTTGCTAGGTTTGGAAGTCCTGGGCAATTACAGCGGGCTCACATGACATGAGCTCACCTTTGATACCATATTTCGGTTCAGGATTACTACCAGCGACCTTTACAGTAGGTAGGTAGCCACACAAGGACTGACTGACTGGCTTGTTTCGATGGAAAACATCAGAGGGCCAGAAAAAAGCAAGAAAGCATTGTTGGAATCTAGTGGCAACCCATTCATAAACCCTTACTTCACAAGGGAATGGGACTCTCCTTTGAAGTTTCATGAGAGTTTCGCACTTCAGGGAAACCAAGGAAAGTCCCTACCAGGTAGCTCAGGAACGGGTGACAAGTCGACCTTGCATTAGATGCCCAAACGTGCCCCACCACTGCTGTCAGAGTTGTCTTGCCTTTTTGGTTTTCCTTCATGTTTCTTCCAAGCCAGAATATGTGTTGTCCGTCTTGGCTTTAGAGGGAATCTCTTTCCCAACAGCTGAAAGCTATGGGGTCTCTGCGCAAAGCTCCGGGAGCAGGGTCCGAGCACCCGACGTTCTCAAGTCGCCTGTCCAAATGTGGGGAAGAGGCCTTTCTGTGATAAACGAACCATCCCTATCACTTTGCTATGAATTCTCTTGAGCTCTAACAGAAGGTGGCAACTTAAACGCTTGTTTTGCAAACCAACCAAATCGGAAGTTCCGCAAGACCAATCTTGGTCAACATTCAAACCTAAAAAAAAGATTTAAATCTTTTATTTGCTCATCATTTAGTCAAGGGCAAAGATGAAGATGGTCCCAAACGTTGCCCCAGCCAACCGCAACTCTCGTTTTTTGCAAACCTACGATTTTTGGGGTTCCACAAGACCAACTCCGGGTCGGGGTCAACACTTGCTTGCAAACCAACCATTTTCGGGGGTTCCACAAGAATATTGCCTGGCAAGTGGAAAACAACGGGGACCCCAAAAAAGCCAAACAAATAAGAAGGGGAACTCATTCTGGGGAAGAAACACGTTGACACAGCCAACCGTTAGATGTAAGATGGTCCTTTAAGGCTTCCACAAGACCAAATTTGGGGTCAACCCTTCTTTTGCAAGCCAACGATTTCGTGGGTTCCACCAGACCAACCGTCGAAGTCCCGCAACTTTAACACTTCTTTTTGTTCTTGCAAACCAACGATTTTGGGACCAAACCAAGCGCCGGGTCAAGGCTCGGGGTCAACCGGTCAACCCTTTGCAAGCCAACCACATGCCACTCGTCGAAGTCCTGTCTAAGGTCTTCAGCTCCGACTCCTTGGAGCCCGCCAGTCCATCGCAAAGGCCGTAGGTGGAGCCGCAGACTGCGAGCGCCAGGCCCAGCTGCAGCAGCCACAGCCGCACCTAATCGGATCGGAGCTGGGGGGCTCTTTCGCCCCTTCCATCTGTTGGGTCAAGAAGGTTGAACCGTGCGTACAGCCTTTCTTTGCGCATCGTTTTGTTCAAGAGCTAACATGAAAAGTGGCCAACACATCGGCCCAGATTGAGGAGTCCTTCTGGATC